TTTTTTTTTTTTTTTTTTTTTTTTTTTTTTTGCAAGGGGTGGCACAGGGGTGGCCAAGGTTTCTATTTAGAGGGGCTCATTCAAATAAAGAAAAGCACTCTGGATTTGAAAATTCAAGATGGTCATCCCAGCTAAATCCACATGGCTTTAATTTGGCTGTTTCAAGAACCATTGAACTGAATGATCAAAAAAAAAACACTGAATGCTAGTCACAACTTATTATTCAGCTACTTTTAGACATATACTGCTGAAAAATTAGTGTAGAAGTAACTGAAAACAGTCTTTACCAAATTCTAAATGCCAAATTGAAAATTCAAGATGGTCACCACATCTAACTTTAAAAGGCTATATTATTTAGATTAAAGTTGTTGTGGAGTAGATAAGAATGACCACATTGCTGATGCTATTCTCAAATTAAGCTAACCAATGCTAATGCTAATTTTACAAAGGGCTACAATTCAGCCATTTTTAAACATACACAAATGAAAGTAATATTTTTTTTGTTGGTTTTACAAAWTTGAATGCAAATAAAACAATTCAAGGTCCCCACCTACTTGTGGAGTTTTTTAAGGGTGGCACCTGGGGTGGCCAATCAGGCGCCAGGAGTGGCACATGCCACCCTGGCCATCCCGCTGTCTCCGCCCCTGGCCTTAGAGTAAAGGAATAACAGGTTCTTGTAAAAAAAAAAGAAGTAAGATACCAAGTGTTTATAATCTTTCTATAATAGTTATAACCTGTTCTCTTTATTTTGAATTTAGGACAAGCCTCCATAAGCATATCTGTGTCCAACAGTCAAATCCAAGAAAATGTGGTATGATTTATTTAGTTTTTATTTGAGTTTCACTACGTTAGAATTTCTATGCCGAGAAGTAACTTTTTGCAATGATGCCTTCCTGCAGGATATCAGCATGGTTTATCAGATTTTCGCTGATGAAGTACTTGGATCTGGGCAGTTTGGAATAGTTTATGGAGGTATGTGAATGAATCCAGCAATTCTACTTGAGCTATAAATCCTTGTAATCTGTAAACTTTCCAAAAATAAATGCAAAATGCTTACATGTGCAATGCTTGAGTTGTATTTGAAATGCAAAATTAAAAAAAAAGTCAAAATGTCCAATTTTTTTTTCTTAAGAGCAGTGAAACTCATTAAAGTTCATCACAAAAATCAGTTCACACAACCATTTTTTTTTACTTATATCGAATGTTATTAGGAAAGCACAGGAAGACAGGAAGAGATGTCGCTGTCAAAGTCATCGACAAGCTTAGATTTCCCACCAAGCAGGAGAGCCAGCTGAGGAACGAGGTGGCCATCCTGCAGGTGAGCAAAACCAAACTCCGATGATCAGTAATTTACTACAAATTATTGTGACATAAAATCATGTTTAAAAAGCATTTATAAAAGAAGACATTTCTTTTTTTTCATTCAATTTTATGGAAACATTGGTTTAACCAGGATTGTAGTATTCAAAGACGTTTTGCTTCTCATCTGAGATTTTTTCTAATTTGGTAGCATTTTGTGTTGTGAAAGCTTTCAGTTCAGACCACAACGATTTTTAGATGATTACAGTTTCAAAAATTTACAGAAAAGTTCTGCATCAAAAATATTTTAGCTATTTGGTTCCTGCTAATGTTTATCTTATAAGTGACATTCATTTTGACCAAAAAAAAGTCACTTCTATATTTTACATGTTTTGAGGTCTATCATTCATTTGTTGATGTGCAATAAGAACTGTTAAAAACAAATAACTTTAAAAGCCAGTTTTGTAGAGTAACAAAGTACATTTTTTTGAGCATCAGCAATTTTACCAAGAATTTTTTTAGATTATAATTCGTACTTTTATTTTGTTACTTTTAAAACATAAAAATGACACTTTTACTTTACTTTAACCACATAAGACAAGCCAAGCTATTGATCAGAAGGATATTCACTTCTGCATAATGCATTTGAAAGCAATAAATAGCTATGGTCAATACACTACAAATTTAAATATTACCAGAAGTCATCATGTTTAAAGTACTTTTACTTTCCCACTTATTGTGAGCAGTTTTTTTAAAATTTAAAATTTTTATTTTTACTTAAGTACTTTTTAAAATCAGTAAAATTATTATTTTTTTACCAAAGTCATTTTCTGTTGAGGTATTTTAACTTTTATTTGGGTATTTTTTCAAGTACTTAATAAACCTCGTCCGGGATTTGGCCCATTCGAGGCCTAAGGTCAGAGACAGTTTTTTTGTTTATTCCACCTGAGGTGACCACTACATCTGTTTAAAACCAGACTTAGTAGTGTTTAC